ATCATCAGGCTGCCATGAAGAAAGCCAACTCCATCTCAGCATGATCTACAACCTTCATTCCATATCATTTATGTCACGCTCAGCTCTTACACTTTCTAATACATCCTCCTCAGTCACCACCACCCACCTGGTCCTTTGACACGTACACAGATATCATTCCCTTTATCTATGGGTCATCCCCATCAAACGTTCGGAACAATGAGATCAGAACAATTAGTTGCCACACACAACTCATCAGAACAACTCTCAATCTGAAGTCCCTTTCCTCTACATTCTTTTGGGAAGGAGATCCAAACGCGGGGATGCTTGAGGATGTGCCCAGGCGGGAGCATTCACCATTTGGGTGCACAACACAGGAGGTGAACGCACACAATCTGTGCAGCACAATGTTGGCTGCAGAATGTCTGATACATCACAGGGTAGGGGAAGCTGCACCATATGACCCCTCCATGAGTGTCAAAAGGACCTGCATAGCTCTCCCCAGGTGAAAAGTTGGACAGTTATGAGTTAGTCTATCCTCTAACATAAAACAAGCAATGAAACGTTATTGAGATTCTCTGATCCTGTACTGTAGATATAAAGTTGTTCATCCTACAGATTAACAGGTTTTTTTCATGGAGCTTGTGTCTAATGCTCTGGGTAAAAACTTGCCTATGAACAAGGCTTGTACCAGTCCAGACTGAAGATTTAGCACATCATCTGCAGAGCATTGATTTTATCACTGTAAGCATGTGTCAAATCAATCCCTTTTGCTTTGCCCAAGTCAGCTCATTTTTTTTTAAATGCTATCATTATTTTTCTCATTACCAACAAAGGAACCACAGTAGGCTGAAAACATCTACATTTACATATTGAAAAATCTGAGTCTTCACACTGAAAATTTCCAGTACACCACAATGATTGTAAAATTTGGGCTATGTAATCATATGATTCAATTTACATGCCAAAGAAATTACACCAGCATACACTCAGCTATTTTATTTTTAGAGATTAGATTTCTTAGAAAAAGCTGTTAGCCACTGACCTGGACAAACATTAGCACATACAAAATAATTTCTCAGAACTTCAAACCAAGTCATATCCAGGTGAAACTAATAGAAAATTAGCACAAATGAAGGTCTTGCAGGGCCAGCTACCAAAATACTATGCAGTTACATATATACATATATATATATATATAAAGAAATCACAACAAAAAAACCACAAACAAAAAACCCAAACCCAGACTAGATTCACCAAATATTCCTTACTTTTGCAGTAGTTATTTTCTTTCCCAGTGTCACATACTGCTTTTTGGATGTACAAACTCTTCCCTATGAAGGGAACAGCAGCACCACTTGCTGTGGCTTCTTTTTTGTAGTGCAAAGTATAATACCGGCTAAAGAACTGTGCATGCTCTGGGCTGGCCAAAACCATCAGTAAAATGCAATTGATTAAGAAATACTTCAGTAGCAGCCCAACAGATAAGCTTACTCAATTCTTGAGCATTACATCTACAACCAGACATGTTTAAGGCAATGGTGCAAGTAGAAGCTTCATCTTAGAGCTAAACAGACAAACAGTAAAACATGTGTCCAGAACACTAACAGCAAGCAATCACACATGGAAATTCTTGCAGCTCCTCTAAAAATAAGCTAAAAGAGTTGTTAGAACAGATCTTTATTTATCCCTTCTGTTCTTCTAAAAAAAAAAAAAATCCAAGCAGAGCACATGTTTACTATTTCAGGTTTCAGCTACATTACTGCTCATAATTACCCTGAAGGATCATGTCTTCATGTTTCTTTTCTATAAATCTCTACAGAATTACTGGGATCTCTGCTGTATAAAAAGTAATGAAATGGCTGAAGATTTTTGGTAGAACTTAAGAGAGTCATGTAATAATACAAGGAAGTAACAAATTGAGGGAAGCAGAGACAAATTTTAAACATTCCCTATCCAGAGCCAGATTTCTCTTCCAAACTGTCAACAACGGTTGTGGGTTCCCTCTTCTCTATACTTCGCAAACTAAAATCTAATCAACAGATTCCTTTATTGAGAAAAGGGACAGCAAGAACAGTTGCATCAGTTTTTGCTGGTTTTACTTACTACAATAGGAATGTACTGTAGGGAACAATCCAGTATTTGCAGGGGAATGGACTGGATGATCTAATACAACTTTTCCATTTCTGTCTTCTTAGAACAGCTCAGGCTGATCCAAGTTCACAAAGAGATTTCCGTCCAACAATACTGAATGAAGAGAACTCCAAGACAACGTTTGGGGCTCCTTTTTTTTTTTTTTTCTTTTTTCTTTCTTTTCAATATTAAGAGAGCCAGAATAGCAAACCACATGCCATAGTATACAACCATACAGAAAAAAACTATGATAATTAAATACCCATAAAACTTAGAACATCTGTAGAAAAAGTAGAAAGTTCATTTTATGCTTAAACTTTTCAAGCAATTTGGAGCATTTGATCCATTTTACAACTTCGGAAAAAAGCTCTTTTCTAATATTTGAAATTATTAACCAGTAACGTAAGATCGGCTTAGAAATTTTTATTAAGCAGTGTGCCTACCTTAAATAGAGAAATGTTAGTGCCTAATTAGTAGTATACCCATGCTCATTTTCTTCCAAAATCAGCACATACCAGGATCGCAACATCCTTGGCTCTAAGCTAGTGTGCTTTTTTTTTTATTACAAAATATCTGTCATCATTCTCAGCCTGAGGAATTAAAAACATTTGTCTTTGCAAGTACAGTTGACTTTAAGAAGTTATTGCTAGGAAAAACAGTCTTTCAAATAAGACACCAGAACACAGAAAGAAAGATTTGGCACTTCTGAAGCCTTGTAACAGGGGAAAAAACTATGGCAAATGGGGTGCGTTTTTCTGCTCCTACAGATCTCTTCCAAAAGGCCATGGACTGCCTGCTCTGAGACTTGGTAAGATACTGAGTAATCCTTCTTAAAAATGTGTTAAAGGTCAAGCAAGTACCATGAAGCCTGTCTTGGGGCAGGGATATGAACTAGATAACCTTCTGAAAACTCTTCATGCCCTACTTCCTATACCTGAACACCACAGAAATCAAAAGGTGAAGTTCTGTGATATGCTCTGGGTCAGACCAGATGCTCTTAATAGTCTCAATTGTTATAATCAAAAACTTTAATCTTTTGAATGAAATCAGCACGGTGTACTAAAGAAGTCCCACTAGTAAACACTAAAGATGCAGTTTCAAGAATTATGTCATTTTAAGATAGTGTGAGACTTGGTAGGACTAACAGAACTGTTCACAGGATCAGAGTTACACATATGTTTAATACTTGGACCTAAAACTGAAATGATAAATAATAAAGATGGTTGGAATATTTCAATGCCTTCTTGTTGTAACAGCAATAATGTCACCATTCGCAGATCCCCAAAACTGTCTATCTGCCTCAAGAAAGCTTTCTCATGAATTCTTTTTTGTTAAAATCAGAAAGACCACTCCACCCTGCAATAACAAACAATTAGGGCACACAACTAGGAGAGCCAACTTTTCCAAAGTGAGATGATACTCAAGGTGAGTAAACTAGTTACTGTTGTGCTACCTTATTTTTCTTTTGGGAGAAGGGGCAAAAGGGAGCAAGGGAAGGAGTTTGAAAAGGTTTACGTTCTGCCTCAGTAGAAATTTAGAGCAAATGTCGAAATGCCAATGTTTCACAGATCCACACTCCTTTTCTAGCCAGCCGCCTTTACTTTTGCATCCAGAAAGAAAACTGATTTAGCAACTGACCTAAATTTTGCTTAGATGCATGCCACTGTTAGCCTACGTTAGAAAGACAACCAGTGTTCCCCTTGCAGTGATATCTGAAGCACCTGAACAGATGGCTGCAGCAGAGTGGTGCGGAGTCTGGGAATCACTGCACTTCAGAAACTTTGATGAACTTCTTTAGGCAAGGAAGTATTGCCAAGCACTGTTTCCCTGTTTGTTGTTTTTGTGTATCAACTACCAGAGAGTACTTGTGTTTACTTTTCCATGTAAATTCTCAGCTATTTTGAAAGTAATTTTGGCCAAGTATCCACATTATTCCATCTTTTTCCAGAATAAGATAGCTGAAAGAAATGGAAAAAGGTGACACTCTAAAACCTATGTTGAAATAATCCCAATTTTAAGCTTCCCCTAGACCAATGACTGACAAGGGTAACAAATTCTGCTCAATTATGTGCGAGTCTGGATATATACAGGGCATGGGTTACTACCACCTACTGACTCATCTGAGACCTCAGAATTTCCTTCCAGCTTGAATTAGCTCTGTAGTAGAGACTGAAGACATACTTACCGTTTTGTAGGAGTGGAACATTTCTAACCAGCAGATTGGCTCCATTTTTCTGCTATAAGCAATTTTAACATTATCGGGGTAGCTCTGCATACTCCCATGGCATGCTTTGATTTCTTGTTGCTGATCATTTTCATAGCAGGACACTTTACTCAAGTATTCTTCCAAGCTTATTTTAGGTTGTACTTTAGTCCAACATATTTATGTGCAAAACACAATTTTAAATGGAGGCAAGCCAATAAAAGAAACAGCTTACTAGAATTTCAGTTGACTTCGTTAAAGGAAATTATTTTAAATTAATGTGGCTACTGAACTGTTGCCATACTTGACCTCAGAAAATATATTCCTTCTAATTTTTGCTGTGAACATTTATTTATTTAAGCTAAACTCCAGGTCTTGAATGTTGACCATAAAGAAGTTTCAGATTTCCTGCTACTATTTCGTACTCTTTTTTACTAAACAAGGGCAAACAACATATGTTTGCTGCATTAGCATTACACTGCCAAAACATCACTCTTCAATGAAATCATCTATGTATTTTTGGTAGAATCTTATTTAACAACTTCCACCCCTGACAGAAACAGAGTTAAAACAAGGCTGTTTTGTTTTCACTGAGCAACAGTTTGATCGCTGGTTTACTAGATGGCGCTCAAAACATTTTTCCATATGCTCTTCTCAGAGAGAATCTGACTTAAATGTGGTTTACCTTCACCAGTGAATGAAGGCTTTTTTCACCAAACATATCCCAGAGGAAGGTCAGGTCTTCCTGGCTGTCCACATGTGGCTGCAGCTGGGCTGGCAATGCAGCCAGCAGCTCGTACAGACCTATAAAACGAAAATAAAACACAAAGTGTAATCTAGGGGTGATCTCATTAATTTCACTTAACAGTTCTGTGTAATTGGCTGCCTGGAGCATGTCATTTTAACTGAATAGGGAGTCTGGAGTATCCAGCATAACATTAACTTGTAGAACCAAAAGGAACATTTTTTAAAAATTGCTAAGTAAGTATTAGTGGTGTACTTTTTACCTTGTCACAGTTGTCAAGCTTCTACATCCACATATATTTACACAAGGTTATACAGAAAATTCATAAAGGTTTTGAAAAAAAGGACAAAATCAGAAAAAAACATACATTCCTTTGCTTAATCGTTATTCCATTTCCCTTGATGTTAGCCAAAGAGTGAAATGAGTCATGAATAGGAAAAACTTCCTTAAAAGAACAGAAACTGGATAGGGTGGTCCATTAAAAAAGAGTTCGTGGTTTCTTTAAATATTTCTTGCTAATATATTGCTTAATATTTTTTTATCCTGTGTTCAGTAGGAATCCACAGCAAGACAAAAGGAACTGTTCTGTTTTGCAGGATTAAACCTTAAAAAACAAAACCAATACAGTTTTCTCAGACACACAGAGAAATATTTCAGTAACATTTTTAATTTGCAGGTATTTGAGATTCTCTGTAGGGTTAAAGCAATTGCTGTTCCCAGTTATTTGTGGCACACCTCACCAGCGGTCTCCGAGGGGCAGACAGTAGCACACTGTTCCACAGTAGCATACAGCATAAAATATCCATCATGCACACAGGCCATCAAACTGCTGTCCAAGAAATGTAGCAACAGTGTTTGCAGCAGCCCTCTTTAGGGAGGTAACCTGGCATAAGTTGATATCAATTCATAGCACATGTTTAATTTTCCAGTGGGATTACTTGGGGTAAAAAGGACAAAATGCCTTTTTCTCCTGTCTGCTGTCTACAAAAACACCAATAGTCTCCTGGGATCCAAGATACACGGTCCTGCTATTATTTTTAGTCTGAGTAAGTGCTGCTGTTCATCACAAGGACAGATTTACAAGATAATCTACTGGTAAAGAACACTGTTGTAAGTAATAGGTTACCTATGGTTATTATGCCTATTATCTCCCTGTAACTTATGATTTAGAATATTTATTAGTAAACATAATTTCACAACCTTTCCAGGCACTACATGTCCCTTTCAAAATTACACACAGCACCTTCAGGATCCAATTATTTAACATTTTCATCTTTTTTTTTTTTACTGCCTTTCAGTAAACTATTCTGGAAGAAAAAAGTTCATTCCAGATACATTCTTTCTGTGGTCCAAGCGATTTGGTGGTTGACATTCATTTCTCTTAGAACTTTGCTTTTATTTAAATCTGCTCTTGTTTATGCTTCAGAAATACTGCAAAAAGAGGATACAACTGAAACCACTATAATTTTGCACGGACAGAAAATGAACGCTGAGCCTTGCCTAGTGAGACACAGTCAGCATCGAGCTGACACCAGAGAACAGAGCTCTGAATGGGACTCTTGGCTCCAACTTTACAGACTATTATAACTTCAGCACTTACCAAAAAGGGTTATTTTTATCACACAATTTACGCTTCAAAAACATTTTCATTTAGAAAATTAAAAAACTTCTTTACACTCAGCCTCACATTTCTGCACATAGCCACTTTTGTTATTGCAAATACATCTACCTTAGAATAACCCAAAGGTTGTTAAATAATTTAATCGAAATTTAATGCAATCCTACACTGTGGCATAGCTGCTTAGAAACAATTCGTGTATGCCGTTCAGAAGAAAGAAAATATTAACTTCAGCCACTCCCTTCAAACAGGAGATGTAGAAGAGGATAAGCTTTCTTTTTTATCCTTGATCTATCGGAGCTGCTTAAATTTCACATAAAATCAACCACAAAACTATTCTATCCTTTAACTATTGCTCCTCAAAGCTTTGATAGTTAAGTCTCCAGTGAAAATAAAATGAAAGTTCATGTCTCCTGATGGATTAACTATTACAGTAGTGACACAGGGTGAGACTGAATCTGCCTGTAATGACACATAAGTTTTATGCACAGAACTCCCACAGAAAAATCCCACCTGCCGGCACTCCCCAACTGACTAACTCTGCAGGTGCTTACACACATTAAGGTTTCCACATCCAGCTCAAAAGTGTCTTGAGGGCTTCATTCAGTACAGCCTTGAATTGCCCCTTCCAGGGGAACGAGTGTTGACATCCCCAGTGCGCTACCAATAGCTTTGACCGCATCACACACAATCTATGCAACCCTCCTGGGGAAGTGGAGAAAATTAGACAGGTGCTGACTGATTTTATGCAACAACATGGATATAGTTCTAGTTCTGCCCTGCTTTGGCTCTACAGCCCAGCGATTATAGCTTTCAGCCAGAAGTAAATCAGAATCCTGCCCCTCACAGCAGCAGAACCCGAGGACTATGCCATGCAGTGTGCTGGAGAACACTCCCGCTCTTCAGACTCCTCTTGAAACTGAGCACTAGGTAGCCAGCAATAAAATAAATCAAGAAGCCAAAGGAAAACCAGGCAGGAGGAGTACTTAGGGTATTTAGTTAGGGAGAGTAGAAGACAAAGATCTAGAATACGTCTAAAGTTAAAATTGTGCAATTCCAGATCACCCGTCTCAGCTATAGCCTCCTTCCAAACAGGAGTGAATGGCAGCAGAAGGTGTTAGTACCTGAAAAGGCTGATCTTTAGAGAGTCTCATTTCTCTTGTTCCTTCTATGGTGTCTAGTACCACGGTATCCAAAATTTTCAGATGGGCATTCACATTTTCATATATGAAGAAAAACAGTATGTTATTCTTACACACGCAGCTCCCTCCAACTAAAACATCACATTTTATTTGTCTCTCAATAACACAAAGTATGCTGTTCTTATTCATTGCAGTGTGAAGAAACAGTGAAAATTGTGGCTGGCATATGACTTCACTAGCAAATAGGATTTACAAGAAAGTGTTTTTAAAATAAAATAATATTAGGGACAAAATACTTTGTCAAGTTACTGTAAACTGGTAATGCAGTTAAAACTATTACATTGGCAACTACACACTGGCCTAATTTAAATTGCCAGATCTGGTAATCCGTCACATCCATCTTTCCAACACCTGAAGGGTGGCAGCTCCAATCTCTGCAGCCCTGTAAGGTGTCACTGTACAGAGATGCTGTCGCACAGCAATAGAAGTAATCTGAATTTAACAGCAAAGACTGCTTCAACCCAACCTCAAACCTCCTGCAAAAGCTCTAACTAGCACCTCAGGTGGTTCTGCAAGCCAGGCCGCTGAAATCAATGCAGGTTTCTCACTGGTTTTGTAACCAGATATATTTTTTAATGTTTTCAGTAGTAATTATAAAGACTGAAGTGATGCTACACTGAACACTTTTGATCACTTCTAAAAACAAAAATTAACTTTCAAAAAGGTCATAGGTAAACCCTCTATTCAGATGAACTGTTTTGTAAATTATAAACGCATATTCATCGCTTAAGCCACAGAATGAGATGTATCGCAGCACCTCAGAACTGAATGTAATAAGCATATGGCTGCCAGACCTCAGGCTGCCAAGAGTTGTGTTCTTGGTCTCAATTTGATGTTTCTCTTTATGTCCCACCTCCTTAAGTCACATGACACATATGGACCTGCTACTAAAAAAAGTATTTTGCTCACATTTTTTGAAAGATGTCCACAATTAAAATCCACACACCAAAAAAGCTTTTAAAAAAGTATCTAGAAATTGTGTTTAAAAAAAAAATTATGAAAAGCCAAAAAAACCCTACCAAACCTGTGTTTTTAAAAGCCTGATGTTGGCAACACTGTAAGGAGTCTTGCAAAAAAAAAAAAAAAAAAATTGCTTTTTTATACACTGTTGCTATTCTACTCAGGTCCTTGTAATTATTTTTTAGTCTAGTTTGCCTAAATTTAACTAGCTTTTAAATTTAAAAGGAATCTTATGCCAACTGGGATTTTCTAGTATCAAAATACTTCAGGTGTCAGAATTCAGTAAAGTAAACATGACTTACACAAGAAAAACTCATTTACTTCCATTTTTAAAAGCAGATCATTTATTCAAAGGTCCCAGAAGACCTGAGCATACATAAAAAAAATGAACAAAGACTTTAAACATGGAGATGCAAGACTTTTTTGCAATTATAAGAGCGAAGTAACTCCAGTCAGTCCTACACCTTCGGATAACCGCCCCCCCCCCCCACACAATGTAATCTGGACATTCCCAAATCATTGAAACAGAGGAGGAAAAAGGGCCCTTTCTAGATTAAACAAGGTCACATAATCCAGTGGCAGTAATAGGAGTCCATTCCAGACAAATAAGAGAGCTCCTAGTTTTAGAATCATAGAATTGTTTCATTTGGAAAAGACCTTTAAGATCAACAAGTCCAACCGTTAACCCAACACTGCCAAATCCACCACTAAACCACGTCCCTAAGCACCACACCTACATGTCTTTTAAATACCTCCAGAGATGGTCACTCAACCACTTCACTGGGCAGCCTGTTCCAATGCTTGACAACCCTTTCGGTCAAGAAATTTTTCCCTACTATCCAATCTAAACCTCCCTTGGCACAACTAGCGGCCATTTCCTCTTGTCCTATCACTTGTTACTCAGAAGAGACCAACACCCACCTGGCTACAACCTCCTTTCAGGTAGTTGCAGAGAGCGATAAGGTCTCCCCTCAGCCTCCTTTTCTCCAGGCTAAACAACCCCAGAATAGATACTAGTATGCTGCTATTTATACTCATGTTATATAAATTAGGTACAGTATCTTATGCTTACATGAACTAAGTAAAAGCCTATAGCATGGAAATATTCATAAAAGGAGATAAGAATTGCACATAAGAATACTATAAAACTCCTGTAAGAGTGGAATAGAAAGGGGGTTGTTTGAAGGTGCTTATATAGTCTATTAAATCTGATTATCTGATTCAAGACTAAAGAAATTTAAAAGTAATAAATTAATACTGGACATATGATACACTTTTC